AAGGAAAAAAGACACTGGGAAATAAAGCATGAATGGGAGAAGATTGTATTTCGTTATCCTGAATAGGCTAATTTTATTGGAGACACCAGAAATATATTTGAGCCATGTTTCATAAGTGATATAGTATTAAGATAAAACAATACCAGCAGTGTTAGTTTACTGTGTATGTCACATTCCTGTCTTATCTATACAAATGTTTACAAAATACTCAAATCTTAATTTCACACTTGGAAAGTAAACAAACACATATATCATCGGCTACCCAATATGTCAAAATTTAACAATCTTCCATAAACAAGTGTGCAGATCTTAACTTACTGGCCCAATTTTTCTTTTAAATAATCTATAGTTTATATCAAGGAATCGCTTCATTAAAAATTGATTTTCAGATATTTTTAACTGTCTCATTTTTTAATCTAATTTTTATAGTAAAAAACCAAGAATTTCAGCTGTTATGAATACTTGAAGAGAAAAAAATGGTCCAGTTCTTAACAAAGATCAGGTTATCTAGAAGTGACAATATAGATAATAACAATGCAATTTGAATTAAATGCATAATACGCACAATGCAATTGATTTAAAAGTATGATTATATACAATGCAATTTATTAAAATGTATAATATACACGATGCAATTGATTTGAATGCATAAAATGCACAATGCAATTGATTTAAATGCATAATATAAAAAATTGCAATTGATTAAAAGGCATAATATGCACAATGCAATTGATTTAAATGCATAATAATTTTTATAAAAAATTGCAATTGATTAAAAGGCATAATATGCACAATGCAATTGATTTAAATGCATAATAAAAAAAAATGCAATTGATTAAAAGGCATAAAATGCACAATGCAATTGATTTAAATGCATAATATAAAAAATTGCAATTGATTTAAAGGCATAACATGCACAATGCAATTGATTTAAATGCATGATATAAAAAATTGCAATTGATTTTAATGCATATGTGCAATGCAATTGATTTAAATGCATAATATAAAAAATTGCAATTGATTTAAAGGCATAATATGTACAATGCAATTGATTTAAATGCATGATATAAAAAATTGCAATTGATTAAAAGGCATAATATGCACAATGCAATTGATTTAAATGCATAATGATTTTTATAAAAAATTGCAATTGATTAAAAGGCATAACATGCATAATGCAATTGATTTAAATGCATAATAAAAAAAATTGCAATTGATTAAAAGGCATAAAATGCACAATGCAATTGATTTAAATGCATAATATAAAAAATTGCAATTGATTAAAAGGCATAATATGCACAATGCAATTGATTAAAATGCATAATATAAAAAATTGCAATTGATTTAAATGCATAATATGTGCAATGCAATTGATTTAAATGCATAATATAAAAAATTGCAATTGATTTAAAGGCATAATATGTACAATGCAATTGATTTAAATGCATGATATAAATCAAAGCACAGAAGGCGCTGAATTTGTTTGGGTCTCAGAATGTAAGAAAGGTGCAGGTTGTGAGATTATATGTATAGTGCCACCAATGCTTTCCAGCGTTTTAATTGTAGTAAATTGGCTATAAGACTAATTGCAACACTGATATTCAATCCAATGTTTATTTGACTTTAACAATTTGAAAAAAATGAGTTACCTTTACTGGGATTTGAACTCCAGACCTCTCGCTTCCTAAGCGAGCCCGAAAACCCTTCAGCCACGGTGAATTTATATGTGAACGGCCTGAAGAAAACCATATTATTCTAAATTAGGGCTTGTAACGACTTTAACTGTTGTTTAACACAGATGTAAATAATCCTGGAGCTTACTATAAGCATGTATATTTATAAAGAATCAAAGGGCTGCAAGTTCTGTGGTATTTTCTGATCTTTGCAATCTAAATCGTACTGTATATCTGTATGCATTTTCCTGTATTATTTTATTTTTATGTATTATAACTCATTTTGCAAGGCACCAGAATTTGATACATAATAATACATACGGAATTCTGCATAACTAGAGATGCATCAAAAAATCATTTATGTTCATTTTTTACGACAGCCACACTTTATCCTTGCATATCATGGCTACTTTCTTAACAAAGACACTTAAAAATGAATTAAAAAAAAAAAAGTTTCCTCGACTGGGATTCGAACTCGAGACCTCTCACTCACTAAGCGAGCGCGTTACCACTGTACCACGGAGAAGTTATTTAAACATAGTCTGATTAACATCAAGTCATTCTAAATTTAGAACTTGCATTGCATTTCGGGTTTGTAATCCTTATTAATTTCGAGGTATTTTGTTCAGGATAAACCTGCTGTTGTTTAAAATTGAAGTAAATATTTTAGCGAAAATCTTCTCGCCCAAACAGTCCGACATGTAGAATCTATATATTCCACTACTCGGTTTGTGTAGTATTCGGTAATGGACATCGCTAAAAATAGTATTTTCATTGATAAAATCATATTCATCCGCGTAATTTGTGATTGTTCATTTATTGACAATTCTATAAGCCAACGCTATTGTTTAACTTTGAATGCGTTGTAATTTGTTGGATACTTGTAACAAAATAAAATATTTCTTTCTTTTAAATCGCTAGTTTTAAGCTGTTTTGAGAACTACTTGTTGTTAGGTTTGTCGTAAACTTCTGTGTCAGAGATTGAATGTCCGCTTGGTATTTACTTATTTTCGATCAGAAAATACAATAAAACAATATTAGAAATCTTCGACCATTCGGGAATTACTTTGCTTAAAAATTAATGCGCCTGTCTTTGACCATCTTTACGCAGTGATCTCCCCTGAATTTTTCGGCGTTACTGTACATACAAAAGGGAAGTAACCGCTTTAAAAAAGTGGACTACTTTCGGCATTTGCAATTAACAACATTAGACTCTGAAATTTCGCTACCATTATTTGTTTGGTCTGACGACCCAAACAAATAAAAATTGCAATTGATTTAAATGCATATGTGCAATGCAATTGATTTTAGTACACAATATGCACAATGCAATTGATGTAAATGCATAATATGCATAATGCAGTCAAATTAAGTACATAATATGCACAATGTAATTAGTTTAAAGCATAATATGCACACTGTAATTGATTTAAATGCATAATGTGCAGAGTGCAATTGTTTTAGATGTATAATTTGAATTGCACATACATGAATGTTGAAGTGGTAAAGGAATAATAAACGATACTATTTATAAAACATGAATTCATTATATATGTGATATCATGCTTCTCAAAGTCATATGACATACTTTGATAACCTAATATACATATATTAATTGATAATTTATAGAATTGAAAAATGAATTCAATATTGGCACATGTTATTTTCAATAAATATTTTGTTTGTTTTAATTCCATCATTTCCATTTCAAATTTTTTTTATTGAAACTGCCCTCATAACTCATTGCTCTCATTGAGGCTGTTAAAACTCACATTATATTATTTGACCAGGTTTTTTATTTCCATTGTCATTTTTGTTTTATTAATAAGTGCATCTTGTCTAGAGCTGCCTAGTTCTGCAGGAGTTACTCCCCTTGGACTTTAAGGAGTTACTTCCCTTGGACTTCTAAGAAAATATTTGAGTGTTATGAGCAAGATATTGGTATTGGTTTTGTAATGTTAGTACTAGAGATGTTTTCATGTTTGTTTTAAGCAGCATAGATTAATGTTGCATGCTGTTTTTATTAGCTCACCTGTCACAAAGTGACAGGGTGAGCTTTTGCGATCGCTTTTCGTCCGGCGTCCGGCCGTCCGTCCATCGTCCGTCCGTAAACTTTTGCTTTAAATGACATCTCCTCATAAACCACTGAGCCAATTTCATCCAAACTTCACAGGAATGTTCCTTTGGTGGTCACCTTTAAAAATTGTTCAAAGAATTTAATTCCATGCAGAACTCTGGTTGCCATGGCAACCGAAAGAAAAATCTTTAAATATCTTCTTTTAAACAACCCTAAGGGCTAGAGCTAAGATATTTGGCATGAAACATCTTCTAGTGAGTGTCTACCAAATTTGTTCAAATAAAAGCCCTGGGGTCAAAATTGGCCCCGCCCCAGGGGGTCATTGATTTTCCCTATATGCATATAGTAAAAACTTAAAAAATCTTCTTTTAAAGAACCCAAAGAGCTACAGCTAAGATATTTGGCATGAAACATCTTCTAGTAAGTGTCTACCAAGTTTGTTCAAATAAAAGCCCTAGGGTCAAAATTGGCCCGCCCTGGGGGGTCATTGATTTTCCTTGTATGTGTATAGCAAAAACTTAAAAATCTTCTTTGAAAAAACCCAAATAGCTTGAGTTTAGATATTAAGCATGAAACATCTATAAGTAAATATCTACAAATTAAAGGCCGGGGGGTCAAAACTGGCCCTGCCCCAGGGGTGTCATTGTTTTTAACTATATGTGTATAGTAAAAACTTAAAAAATCTTCTTTTAAAAAACCCAATGAGCTAGAACTTAGATGTTTAGCATGAAACATCTTATGGGTGTCTACCAAGTCTGTTCAAATAAACAAATAAAAGCCCTTTGGTAAAAATTGGCCCGGGGGGGGGGGGTGCTATATACAGGTGAGCGACCTCAGGGCCATCATGGCCCTCTTGTTTAATTATTGCCCCATAAAGTGATATACTTATTCTGCCATCATTATAAGAAATGAATGAAAAGGTTTTAATAAAAAATCTTATGGGTAAATAATTTGATTTATTTGGTTTCTGTGGCAATTTATTGGTTTGATTTATACTATTTTAATTCAAAGGGATAACCATTGATCTTGTTTGATGCTCATGTTTTTAATTATTAAACTAGAAACAGAAACTAAGAAATGCTTTTACATTATGGCTACAACAAAGAGTAATAATGAAATATAAAAAAAGGAATAGAAAAACCTCACTACAGGTTAATGAGCTTGAGACACGTGTGTTTGATATATTGAATTATTGATGACACACTACTACCTGGTATGGGGATATTATACAGCAATGTCTGCGATGCGTTTCACGAGCTCGCATTTAACGAGTTTAATTTCCAATCAGGAAAATGTTACGGATCTGTACAGTGTAAAAGACCTTGGAGCTAATAAAGAATGGAAAATGGATTTTATACCATAAAGGATACAATAAGATACTATGAGAAATTGTTCGGAAATATTGAATTTAGCAATAGAAAGGTAGTTTGTTTTTCAGGGCAGGCATAATGTTATTTTGACTTACTTGCCGTCTGGTTTATGAACTGTTATCTGATTTATATCTTTATTAGTCTGTATTGTATTTATAAAGTAATTTCTGATAAAATTACACTTGTCCGTACTTGCTGTTGGACAATCTGGGCAATACAGTCAATTTGTTTTGCCGCCCCCATTTTTAGCTCACCTGTCACAAAGTGACAGGGTGAGCTTTTGTGATCGCTTTTCGTCCGGCGTCCGTCGTCCGTCCGGCGTCCGTCGTCCGTAAACTTTTACTTTAAATGACATCTCCTCATAAACCACAAGGCCAATTTCATCCAAACTTCACAGGAATGTTCCTTTGGTGGTCACCTTTAAAAATTGTTCAAAGAATTTAATTCCATGCAGAACTCTGGTTGCCATGGCAACCGAAAGAAAAAACTTTAAATATCTTCTTTTAAAAAACCATAAGAGCTAGAGCTTAGATATTTGGCATGAAACATCTTCTAGTGAGTGTCTACCAAGTTTGTTCAAATAAAAGCCCTGGGGTCAAAATTGACCCTGCCCCGGGGGGTCATTGATTTTCCCTATATGCATATAGTAAAAACTTAAAAAATCTTCTTTTAAAGAACTCAAAGAGCTATGGCTAAGATATTGAGCATCAAACATGTTCTAATAGGTGTCTACCAAGTTTGTTCAAAGAAAAGCCCTGGGGTCAAAATTGGCCCCGCCCCAGGGGGTCATTGATTTTCCCTATATGCATATAGTAAAAACTTAAAAAATCTTCTTATAAAGAACCAAAAGAGTTAGAGCTAAGATATTTAGCATGAAACATGTTCTAATAAGTGTCTACCAAGTTTGTTCAAATAAAAGCCCTGGGGTCAAAATTGACCCCGCCCCGGGGGGTCATTGATTTTCACTATATATGCATATAGTAAAAACTTAAAAAATCATCTTTTAAAGAACTCAAAGAGCTATGGTTAAGATATTTAGCATCAAACATGTTCTAATAGGTGTCTACCAAGTTTGTTCAAATAAAAGCCCTGGGGTCAAAATTGGCCCCGCCCCGGGGGGGTCATTAATTTTCCTTATATGTGTATAGCAAAAACTTAAAAAATCTTTTTTGAAAAAACCCAAATAGCTAGAGTTAAGATATTAAGCATGAAACATCTTTTAGTGAGTGTTAACCAAGTTTGTTCAAATAAAAGACCTGGGGTCAAAATTGGCCCCGCCCCGGGGTCATTGATTTTCCTTATATGTGTATAGCAAAAACTTAAAATCTTCTTTGAAAAAACCCAAATAGCTAGAGTTTAGATATTAAGCATGAAACATATTCTAGTAAGTGTCTACAAAGTTTGTTTAAATAAAAACCCTGGGGTCATAACTGGCCTGGCCCCAGGGGTGTCATTGTTTTTAACTATATGTGTATAGTAAAAACTTAAAAAAAATCTTCTTTTAAATAGCCCAATGAGCTAGAGCTTAGATGTTTAGCATGAAACATCTTCTTATGGGTGTCTACCAAGTTTTGTGCAAATAAAAGCCCTTTGGTTAAATTGGCCCTGCAACGTTTGGGGGGGGGGGGGTGGGTGGGGGTTGGGGGGGCCTATATACAGGTGAGCGACCTCAGGGCCATCATGGCCCTCTTGTTGTAATTTTTAGCTCACCTGTCAAAGTGATAGGGTGAGCTTTTGTGATCGCTTTTCGTCCGGCGTCCGTCCGTCCGTCGTCCGTCCATCGTCCGTAAACTTTTTCTTTAAATGACATCTCCTCATAAACCACTAAGCCAATTTCATCCAATCTTCACAGGAATGTTCCTTTGGTGGTCACCTTTAAAAATTGTTCAAAGAATTTAATTCCATGCAGAACTCTGGTTGCCATGGCAACCGAAAGAAAAAACTTTAAATATCTTCTTTTAAAAAACCATAAGAGCTAGAGCTTAGATATTTGGCATGAAACATCGTCTAGTGAGTGTCTACCAAGTTTGTTCAAATAAAAGCCCTGGGGTCAAAATTGGCCCCGCCCCGGGGGGTCATTGATTTTCCCTATATGCATATAGTAAAAAGTTAAAAAATCTTCTTTTAAAGAACCCAAAGAGCTAGAGCTAAGATATTTAGCATGAAACATGTTCTAATGGGTGTCTATCAAGTTTGTTCAAATAAAAGCCCTGGGGTCAAAATTGGCCCCGCCCCGGGGGGTCATTGATTTTCCCTATATGCATATAGTAAAAACTTAAAAAATCTTCTTTTAAAGAACTCAAAGAGCTATGGCTAAGATATTGAGCATCAAACATGTTCTAATAGGTGTCTACCAAGTTTGTTCAAATAAAAGCCCTGGGGTCAAAATTGGCACCGCCCCAGGGGGTCATTGATTTTCCCTATATGCATATAGTAAAAACTTAAAAAATCCTCTTTTAAAGAACCAAAAGAGTTAGAGCTCAGATATTTAGCATGAAACATGTTCTAATAAGTGTCTACCAAGTTTGTTCAAATAAAAGCCCTGGAGTCAAAATTGGCCCCGCCCCAGGGGGTCATTGATTTTCCCTATATGCATATAGTAAAAACTTAAAAAATCTTCTTTTAAAGAACTCAAAGAGCTATGGCTAAGATATTTAGCATCAAACATGTTCTAATAGGTGTCTACCAAGTTTGTTCAAATAAAAGCCCTTGGGTCAAAATTGGCACCGCCCAGGGGGTCATTGATTTTCCTTATATGTGTATTATAGCAAAAACTTAAAAAATCTTCTTTGAAAAAACCCAAATAGCTAGAGTTAAGATATTAAGCATGAAACATCTTTTAGTGAGTGTCTACAAAGTTTGTTTAAATAAAAGACCTGGGGGTCAAAATTGGCCCCGCCCCGGGGGTCATTGATTTTCTTTAGGCCAACATTTTTTTATTAAATGTTTTACGGGATTTTTTTTAAAAAAATTGGGTCGGGGGGGATAAATAAAAATAAAAATAAAATTCAATTTTTTTATCAGTCGACCACAAAATAAAAATAAAATGACAAATGAGGTGAAATTTTTTTATTTTCAAACATTATTTTAACACTCCAAAAACAGATTTTTTAATCGTAAAATCAATGATTTTATAGTTTTGAAATATTTTTGACATGATTTTTAACAAAATAATTGAAAAAAGAATGTTTTAAGTCACTTTTGCTTTTGTTTTATGTAAATATTTAAATGCTGGTCTAGAATTTGTATTAGTTTATCTTTTCGCATTTTAATAGGGCGCATTTTTGCCACACAACTCCAAATTCATTGTTTAGTCCCTTCATTTCAAGAGTAGCCAAGCCACTCTCAAGCTTTACAATACTGACACAAGCTTGCAACCTGATTATAGTGATAGAACAACCAACCTATTATAAGCTTACTGATAGTTTCCTCATGGGAATCCAAATTAAGTTCCTGACAGGAATCTTATCAACAACATCACACAGGGAGAGTGATTTGAGGTCAGAAACCTTAACCATTCACAGAGGTACAAACATAATATTGTACAATGTCAGTTTCACAAGGTAAATTAAATCAACAACTTCAAATTATCTTTAAGAGAGTAAGTTCTGTATGTGCAAAAAATTTGCAATTTCTGAAAATTATTCATATTTCAAATGATTAGTAAAATGAAAGTCATTGACAGTAAATAGAAAATCAAATGGCATACATTGTTACAAAATCAGGGTTTTCTGCAAAGAATTTATTACAGGCAAATTTTTACAGAAATGTCATAGAGGACTTATGCTCATAATCTTACATAGAAAAAAGGCCAATTTTCTCAATATTGATCTAGTAAAAAAACTTCTTGAAATACACATAACTATTGCCTTTAGTCTACTGGTCATGAAAAAATATAAACTTAATAAATGTTATAGATGACTGTGTTAAATTATAAACAAGCCTTGTATTTCAACAAGACTGTTAGACAACAACAACAAAAATCTGTCCACCAAAGAACTTTAAGGAATTTATTATTTTGGTATTATAAATTAATCAATTGTTTTCAAAGATTCATAATAAAGATTTTTTATTTTCAACTTACTAACAATAAATCTTAGATTCTACAATGTAAGTAGAACTCGTATGAGTTGAATTTCGATTACTCAATTTTCTCGATATGTCTGAGTAAAATGCAAGTCCAGATTTTCCCCGATATGTCTGAGTAAAATGCAAGTCCAGATTTTCCCCTTATATTTTTTATAAAAACCTATACATGAGTCTAAATTTTAATGTGTCAAAGTTTTCTCATGTTCCGTGGTAAATCGAGTAAATATTTCATTCTGACACCGATCAACGGCTTTGATCCCGTGCCCATTTAATTTTTTACAACTGTTCTGAAAGTGAAGATGATTCAAATCAACTTATGCAATGGATTTTAATTCCCAGTTGTGCTTTCTAACAGCTTTGCAGGCTATCATGTGTGATAAAATGCTCTAATATTGTTTCCAAAAGCGAGACCCGGTGTCGCGAACTTTCTTCACCCGGTGTCGCGTGATATTCACACGGGTTAATTTATTACAAGCTTGTTAAGTTATTGCCCTTCCCTTTTGTTACGCCTTTTGTAACATTCTTGTAAACATCAAAGGGATTAACTAATCATTTGTTTTAAGCAAGTTCCTTTGCTTTACCAAGATTCTACAGTTAAGTATCGTTAACAATTGAAGTGAAAAACGTGTACCTTACCGAGTAACTTTTAATTTTGACAGAAGTGGGTAAGACAGGTCGGCGGACAAAATGAAAATAAAAGTTCTTAAATGAACTTTTATTTTTATTTGATTTTCTCTAAAAATACGGTCGGCGGTCCCGTAAAACATTTTATAAAAAAATGTTGGCCTTATATGTGTATAGCAAAAACTTAAAATCTTCTTTGAAAAAACTCAAATAGCTAGAGTTTAGATATTAAGCATGAAACATCTTCTAGTAAGTGTCTACAAAGTTTGTTCAAATAAAAGCCCTGGGGTCAAAACTGGCCCGGCCCCAGGGGTGTCATTGTTTTTAACTATATGTGTA